CCTTCAGTCTTCTCTATGAGTGCTTCTAAGAACCTTTTATGTTAAGCGTTTCTTTTGTGTGTTGGAAGTAAAACCTGCCCCATACTTGATTTACATTATGCAATGAATATTTTTCTATTCTTTGACATGAGCCCAATCAAAGTGGCCAATGGAGGCATGGCTCTTGGAGTATGAGCAGCGTGTTCCAAGTGATATCAACCCATGGGGAGGCTTAACGAGACTTCTAGAAGTACATGGTACAGAGTGACCCTTTATGTCCCTACTTCAGGGTCTGTGAAGGTATCCTATTGACTTACTGTGGTGTGGTGATGAAAAAAAGCCTTTTAATTGACTAGTAAGCTAGAGGTAGTGTGTATACAAAAGGTGTGAGTGAGCAGAAAGAATTCCAGGTAACCTTGCTCTGGGAACCCAACCTGTTCATTGGAGTGTGGGTTTGGAAAGTAAACCCGGAGCTTCCATGTGCTTCATAAGCTTTAATTAAATCTTCATGGGGTTGAGGGGTGTGTGGGGCTCGGTGGGAACCTAAAGAGCCAAAAAGTATGAGAAAAGGAGTATTCCTCCTCCTTCTCAGGCTGAATGCCTAGGTCCAGAGTACTTATGACTGAGAGCTGAAGAGGACGCAGCAATTTTATTGCTGTCTTGTTAAAATTAATATATGCTTAAAAGAACTCTACATAATAAAAGTTTGCTTTCTTATATAATCCTCTCTTGTTCTTTGTACATTAAAATGTTTTGAGTTTCCTTACTGAGAGGAATTCAAATTCCATTCACTTCAATTCAATTTGAGTCCAAAACATATTGATTAAGTATCAATCTGAGAAGCAATGTGGTCTACTAGAAACAGTACAAGACTGAAGTCCTAAGATATGGGTAAAACCTGACACTGGCGTGCTTAGTAGCTGCTGACCATGTCAAGTCTGAGCTTATTTTTACCCTTGTAAAATAAGGATAATACTTGTATTGTATACCATGTAGGTTTGTGAAGAGTGCTTTGCAAACCTTAAAATATTATATGTGGGGAAAGCTAGGTGGTGCAGTGCATAGAGTGGTAGTGCTAGAGTCAGAAAGACCTGAGTTCAAAATATGACTTCAGACACTATCTGTGTGAACTGAGGCCTGTCCCTTAACCTCTGTCAGCTTTAGTTTTCTCATCTGTAAAATGAGGACACACACTCACACAATGATGTATATTTGTATATATAAAACTTCATCTTTACAACCACCCTAGGAGGTTGGTGCTATTATATGTGTGTATATTTATATAATTTCAAAACAATTAAATAATTTAAAAATCAAAGACTTTATAAAGACATAATTTCATGTCCTATTTCAACAAAAAATTATTTTCTCAGGCAAAAGCCTAGAAGTTGAAGTAGGGATATGTGCCAAAATGCTCTGACTGAAAACAAAAGAATTCTTGCCATTGATTCCTTAAAAAGAGTCCCCATCCCAAGAAACATCTATTGAAACTAATTCTTTTGTAAAATTGAAGCATGATAAAACATTTTCTTGATAAATAGATAATAAATTTCCTGACTTTTGGTAAGAAGGATCATGGCATAAACTGAAGTCAGAAAGGCATTGATTCAAGTGCAATGTCTTGCACTTCCCAGACCCATGAACTTAGGCAAATTATCACTGAGCCTTCCAGGACACTAGGCAACAACTCTCTAGGATTCTAAGAATAAGTTTAGATGTATCTAGAGTTTGAGAGCAGTTTTCATTAATGCTTTATTATAAGGTAGTTAAGACAGAAGAACCTAACAGACAATTCTAAACTACTATGTTTAATATTTCAAAGATGTGTTCAGAGAACTAGTGAGAGACTGATTATTGAAAATTATTGTTCCAGTTATAGTAAAGGCCTCATTATTTTGGCTAAATAGAACTTCATTTATTTTAAACATTAGCAAGACAAGTATGTAATACATGTTCATAAAATGTCTTGAGCTCTTAAAAGTCTATAGCGATTAAGTTTGCTTAAATGAGCCCCATTCTATAACTATTCAGTTCCTTAGTGTTATGTAATGTAGTATGTGGTAAACTCTGATTCTCTCAAGATGGCAGGGGATCTTAACCTTTTTTTTTTTGTGACATGGACCCCTCTGGCAGCTTATGGACTCTTTTACAGAACAGTTTTTAAATGCATAAAACAAAACACATAGGATTGCAAATGTCAGTTCTACTGTAAGTATTATAAAAAGTTTATGGGCCCTAGACTAAGATCCTCTGCTCTAGTCTCAATAACTTCGGTAAAAAGGATGTCCCTTAAAGAATGGTATTTATTTTTATCAGTAATGACATGTTTAGTGAATACAACTTTCTTCTTGCTAGGGAAAATTCAGATGGTGATAATTATTCACTATGGCGTTCCTTTAGATGGAGGATTGCAGAGTAATTTTGTTCTTATGAATTATGCTATTTAACTTAAAACAGACATTAAGGTAATGATCTAAAACAAACCAGAAATTTACACAGGAAATGAGATACAAATTGCAAAGGAACTGAATGCAAGTTACATAAAAATAGCATGTAAGAATTTCCTATTAGTGACTGTATCTCCAAACGGAGATGGTTATGTATTAGTGTTCCAATGGCAAAAAATGATTTGGAAATGAGCTCTGATCAGCTGTAATGTTCAGAAAGGTCAACGTTTTCAATTACTTTTTATAGTAACAAATATTCGGAATTTTATAGTAGGTATTTCAGATATGCCAAAGCCTAATGTCATAGTCTAGATATAAAGTTAGCCTACACAATATAATTCTTTGTATTTATAGCCTTTAGATTGTGAAAAAGAAAGTACAACTGTAGCTCATCAAAATGTGCCTCCAATGCACAATACCTTGTTCGTTCAGTCATTACAAAGCTTAGCATAGTCCAAAGAAAATATGAACACTGACATAGGGTACTCTCCAATTTGTTAAGCAGTCCATAAATTTTGGCATAAAAAAATTCCACATGGTGAAAATGCAATTAATCACTTGTGCTAGCTATCAAGCTATGATTTTAGCTGTTTCCTCTGAAATTTTCCCTGAAGCTACATAGTTCCCTATTTTATATTTTGATATCTGAGGTCAACTAACTTAAATCTATCAATATGCCCATTAATTAACTAAAAATTTGGCTACTGACCTCGAGTACCGTATTTATTATAATCATCTAAAATAAGAGGGTCACAGCAAATGTCTTTAAGAGATTTAAATTTTTTAACTAGTAAATTTGATAGAGGTTTAGAATCTTGAGATAAATTGGCCAGCTCAGAAGGACCAATTTATAATCTTAAAATATGTCACCATTTCATAACTGGTATGACTTTAACATGAAATGTTTAGTTTCTGGCAATACTTTCTGCAGCTCTCATGTTGAAAATATGCTGAAACTTGAGAATGTGCAATTAGGCTTTAAATTTTTTAAGTGGTGTTTTGCAAACAATGACAAAGAATTGAGAGGCGAGTATAGTGAATGACAATGACTTTATGACAAAGCTGAACAAATTATCTACTTAAATAATTTTACATCACAAAGATGAACAAAAATCTGAGCAGATTTGCAGTTTTCTATATTATATCTCCAAAAAAAAAACACCACGGTTTCTTACCTTTGCTCAGAACAATACAGGAAGTATAGAATGAAACCTTGAAAATTAAACCAGTCTGTATTCAGTTCAGTTTATTCAACTGTACTCAGATACAGCGCAGACATTAGCAAAATAAATGAATTCTTACGTGCAAACATGACTGGTACATCTGTACCTCATCATTCACACAAGTTTTTGCAAAATGAAGCTGTAGGGTACATAAGCCTCCAATACCCAGTCTTATTGTGAAGTACCTATGTTCTTGTTCTGCTGTGTTTATTTTCAAATGGCTGCTGCACTACTGAAGAATTTATTATTCTATGTACAATGCAATGAATGCTTAACATCAAAAACACTAGCTAGATGTAACTAATTTGTAAAAATAATCTTTAATCTTGATCCCACAAATAGGCTACAGATATAATGTTTGGCGTCAGAGCTTATCTTCCAAACACACAAAAAATGATGACACACACAATTTCAGGGTGCTTGTGTTGTCTACTTTGGTTCTTATTCCTGACATTTCAAGAGTTATCAAAACAGCTCCACCTGCAATACATTAGCTGTATTCCAATAAAGAAAAGTTTTTATGAACAGTTGGAAAAAAACCAAAAACCTCTCGACAAAAGGATCATAAATCAGAGCTAGAAGGGACCCTAAGAAGTCAATTATATTCCAACCTCCTTATTTTGCAGATGTTTCAGAAAACAAGAGTTTCAGAGACCTCAAGTGACTTGCCCAGGTACACAGGTGACTAGGAGCCCAGATTTCAACAGAGATCCTTGATAGTAACTGTATCATTCTTCCCACTATATCAATTTCCTTTTCATATGGTGTGAAAAAATATTTGTGTCAAATTTCAATAAACAAATACAATCATTTATATAGCTGAATTGCTTTAAAATTCTAAGATACTCTTACTATCAGGTGCTAGACTGATTCCAACAATATGTAAGATTGTGCCTACCCAGTTTTTAAACATAAATGAAGACTGATGAAATTAAACACAAAACACTAAGATGTGACCAGCATTGGTATTTGTTTTATCTTTTTTATACATTTACATAATTTATAATGTTATTTTTAAAATTTATATTTTAAATCATCTCTAAATTGCTTGACTTTTTAAAGGAAATATTTCATGAGGAGAACTTCGGGGAAAATATCTTGGAAGAAAAAGATGGCTTTAAACTGCATTTTTAAGGAGATTCCTGGTTTTCACTAATAAAATAAAACAGGAGTTGCTAGAACGTGGTTTTGAAATAAAGTGTCACAAAGTCTTACCAAAAGCTTGTGATAAGTTTAGAAAGAAATGGCAGAATCTTTCAAAAATGAAAGGATTTCCTTAAACTTATACAGGCTTCTCTTATTAAGAACATTAGAATAATGCAAGAAGTACAAAGAAAAGAATCTTTCATTTTAAAGAAATTTTTATTATAGCTCAGTGATCAGTATAAATAACTAAAAGCCAATATCTAAGTGACAATTCTTTAGTTTCTTCTTAAGAAGTTTTCCAAAGCAATCTTCTGGAATATTTTTAATACAACTAAAGAATTTCAAAGCACTTTGTTCTGCAAATCAGATTTTTGATAACCAATTTTAAAGTGTTAACTTGAGTATTTTTCTCATACTAGCTGTCAAACAAAGGAAATACCTCTAAGAAGGCATAAATGAGTAACTACTCGATGGCATTCTTTAAGAAATATTAATTTGGTTGAAAAGTTTATCCTTAATAACCTGAGACATCAATCCATGGATAGCTTCTATGGTGGTCTTACAGCTGAGGAAAAAATACAGACAAATATGCACAAATTAAAGCTTACAAAAGTACAATGTTTTAATTTTTTTAAAATTGCCATTTAGTATCTACAATCTAATTCGTTTATCTAAATATATAGGTTTAGAAAACAACACTTTTACTTGAAGTCTGGTTCACTAATAGTTAAAGAGGATAAAGATGTTGCTAGGTAATAAAAGGAAAACTACATATACATGAGCAGTCTTTAGACAGGCATCCCTTAATAATAAAAACAGATGCAATATCCCTAAAAAGTTTTATATAAGAGAAAATTCTACACATTATCTCCAATGTTTCCCATTATTTGATACAACATTTTCTCCTAAAAGATCACTGCTGAATTGGTTAAAATGATATCACATCAGCTTAATTACTCCTTTGTGCCTCCAAGTATGCTTTAAACAGTGAGTTTCCAGGTAACAGATGACAAATTAGTTCCCAATTTAATATGATCAATTCTGTACCAGTAAAATTTGTTATATACTGAGTTGCTGTGTAGAGATACTTATAATTTAAGGCAGATTCAAATGAATGAACATTTAGAACTATTATGAGCACAGTACTGCACATTCAAAGAAGTGGGTGTTCTCCTTAATGCTAATTGCATCCCACATACCTAATCAACTGGCTAATTCTTTTTATTTCTGCCTTTACAAGATCTATCACATCTGACCCCTTCTCTCTATTCACACAACCACCAACTTTGTACAGTGCGCCTTATCATCTCTTGCCTAGATTGCTGCAGTGGCCTTCTAACTGATACTTCCTACCTCAAATCTCTCTCCACTTCACTACATCCTCCAGGCAAAATTCAGCCAAAAAGATTTTCTTTAAACAAAGCTCTGACCTACTCAATTAACTCCAGTAGTTTCTTGTAGCCTCTAGAATAAGATATGAAAGTCTGTTTAGCTTTTAAAGTCTTTCACAACTTTGCCTCAATCTGTCTTCCCAGGACCCTCCTACATTACATCCCTTCCTTCATTCTGGCCTTTTCTTTGTCCCTCACATGACTCTAGATCTCTAGATCTCCCGTATCCATACTTTTTCAAGAGTTGTTCCCGATGCCTAGAATGTACTCTCTCCTCTAACCTCCACCTCAAAAAATCCTTGGTCTTTCCTGATACCTTCAAGTACTAGTGTCCTTCTTTCTCAAACTACCTTGTGTTTAACTATTTACAAACACAGACACATGCCCATATGTGTGCACACACAGATATGTCTAGATGTATGTATGGCATGCATATCTGTATAACAGAAAGACAAAAGAACCAGATTTAAAAACATCAGACAGATTTAGAAGGGATCACAGAACAAAAGTTCCTTGGTGTGTTTTTTTTTTTTAATTTGCTTGTTTTTTATTAATTCATTGTTGTATCCCTTGTTAAATGCTAAGGAACTGGTGTAAGGCTTTATCCCTTATTTTGTTTGATTTTTTTTTATGGATGGTTATTAAGTTTACAATAAGGATATTTGCAAAAGAATTTTGATTGTAGTTACTTTACATCTATAGCTCAGCTTGATCTGAACTTCAAAAAGGGACCAAGATGCCCCAGTGACAGGTAAGCCACCTCGTGCTCCCACTTTTCCAGCTTCTCTTGGTGTGCTGTCTTTCCCCACAGATTTTAAGCTTCTTGAGGTTAGAGGCAGTCTTTCTTTTTCTTATTTGTATTCCTAGCACTTAGCATAGTGCCTGTCATATAGTAGGCACTTAATAAATGTTTAATGAATTAAATTAAAAGAGTTTTACTTTGTAGGAAAATAAAAAGGAACTAAGGGCAAGAATTCATGCTTCCTTACCTGTCTCTTGTTGCTTTAGCAAGTTTGTCTTCTGACTTTCGGTCATGTGTTTCTAAACCCAACATGAAACTCCCTCGTCCAAGCTGGGCTTCTGACTGTTCTAGTTTTTCAGATAAATCAAAGACTTGTCCAGTAGTATAGTCTGCATTCTGCAGGTGGGGGTGGGGGGTGGAAAGGAAGAAAGAGAAAACAGCATTTAACATGTTACTTACTGATCCAGAGGACTCATTTCTCTATCACTGAGAAAATTTACACTTTCCTTTCAATTATATTTAGTAGAAAATGTATTAATCAATGTGTTATTTATTAAGAATTCTGGCATAAAATCTAAATGGCTAGCTGAGGTAGAACTTCAAACTTTTAAAACCTGTACAAATAAGAAAATCAATTATTATAAAATCTGATTTACACCATGAATTCCATTTTTGTCTTTTTATCTTTCCTCAAACTAGTCTTACTAAAATAAGATCCCATTTTATTGATGAAACTCACCTTGAAATTTCCCTCACTTAACCTAAAATCATTAGGAATTAGAAGAAACAGAATAGAGAAAACCAGACAACACTGAGAAATCATAAAATTAATCCAATCATGGCTTGAAGCTTCAGGATTAAATTCTATGACCCTGCTTGTGTAGTTCTGTCTGTGTAAACTTAACACTTGCTTTGAAAGACTGCTGCATTTTTTAAAAAGTATAGAAGAAATACTAATGCAGTTATTTGTCCAAGAACTTGAACGGGTAGTATGACACACTCCTCAGGATCCGTACCCATTATCCTTTTCTTCTGTTAATAATTTATTGTTAGTACCAACAAAAACAGGCAACCTATTTTAACAAAATACAAGCCATTGTGTGAGTTGTATTAATAATTTTATCTTACTTGAAATGGTACATAACCTCACAATAAATATTTATTAGTAGCCTACTGCGTGCAAATAAGACAGTCCCTGCCCAACTAACTGGAAATAGGAAATCTCAGATTTGGAAGGCACCTCAGACACCATCTAGTTAACCCATACCCCCAAGCAGAAATCCCCTCTACATCCCTACGAGTGTTCCTTTAGCTTCTGCTTGATGATTCCAGTGATGGGGAACTCACTACCTCATTCCACTTTTCCTGCATCAACAGTTTCTTGCATCACTATCTCATTCCACTTTTCTTGCATCAACAGTTTCTTGCATCAAAAAGAAACTAGTTTCTCTACAAATTCTTTTTATTACTCCCAGTTCTATCTTCCAGGGTCAAGCTAGGCAAGTCTAATCTAATTTATGACTTTAAAATATCTGGAGGAAGAAATTATGTACCCTCAGAAATGGCCACCAAGTCAGAAAGACCTGGGTTCAAGTTCTGTTTCTGACACACTGGCTATGTGACCCTTTGCAGGTCATTTACCCTTTTAGCGCTCTAGGCAGCTCTCTAAGATTGTAAATGGGAGAAAAGCTGTGGCTCTGTATCTGTGGAGAGTTTGCTTCAGCAATGGCATTGTAGATCCAGGCCAAAACAAAAGGCCCTTCCCATGGTCCAGTACTTCAAGCATTTGTGAGAAAGATGGGATAAATAGTAGTATCCTCATTTTATAGGCGAGGTAGCTGAAGCTCAGAGATGTTAAGTGACTTGCCCAAAGTCACACAGATTCTAAGAATTAAAGTCTGGATGGAAATCTAGGTGTTTGACTCCAAGACCACTACTTTTTCCACTATTCTTTGCCCCAACTGTTTAAAAGCTTATTTTTTTCAATGTTCATGTTCTTAATTAAGGGATGTAATCATGATCACAAAGGTAGAAAAATGTTAGATTTAAACCCAAGTCCTCTGGGTTCCAAATCCAGTACTCTAATCATTACACCACACTGCTTGTGTACATTTTTTTTTGCTTGATCCCACCCTAGGGGAGCCATTTTTATTTCCTCTATTTTAGGATATATTTCCAGACCTTGACCAACAAATTCTGCCTTCATTTTTCTAGCTTACCTACCACCACACTGATTCTGGGGTGAAACAATTTTTTAAAAACTGAGAAAGCTTCTAGGGATGGGTCTAGAATTAGTTGATGTAGATCAAACAGAAGGTGTGAGCAAGAGTGTTTTACATTCTGTGTACCTTAGAGGGATCTGTGTTTACCAATTTATCTATGTATTTATTTCATTCCTATACTATTCAATGTTACCTAAAATTAATAATTTAAATACAAAAGTTTTAGATTTTTAACAACTATATTATGATACATCGCTACCTCCCCCCAATAATAAAGAACTACAATAATCTTTTAAAAAAAGAAAAGGTTTGGTGTTTAAGAGTCAGTATTTAGAAAAAAAAAAAGTCAGTACTTCTAATATCACATAGTGTGCTTTCCATCTGGGCCCCTAGGTGGCACAGTGGATAAAGTACCTGGCCTGGAGTCAGGAAGACTATTCTTCCTGAGTTCAAATGTGGCCTCAGACACTTATGAGCTGTAGGACCCTGGGCAAGTCACTTAATGAACCCTGTTTCCTCATCTGGAAAATGAGCTGGAGAAGGAAACGGCAAACCACTCTAGTATCTCTGCCAAGAAAACCCCAAATGGGTTCACAAAGAGTAGGACACAACTGAAAGTGACAAAACCTTCCCACAAGAACTTGTGCAAATCTATTGCCACCTGATGGAAGCTAGTGCACATTGCAAGCAAGAGGGGAAAGAAAGGGGGAAAAACTCTCTATATTCTTGAAAATTATCAAATAACAAACTGAAACTGTAACTCTCAGGTATACTAAGTGACAAATGTGATCAAAACATTTCCAGAATTACTCTATAATGTCAAATCTCTGAAGTTTAGTACTACATTTGAAAGTTTTTCCATATTAATTTCCTTTATAAGATTTCTCTCTGGTATGAACTGTAGTCAAGAGTAAGGAATGAATTGATGCTTCATGGAGATCATGAAGATGTATTTAACGAACTTTAGTACACATGTGTTGAGACACCTACGTCATTATTCAAAGGATTTATTTATTTTTAACTTTTTGATACTGTTAGCAGAAGTTGCGACTATGTGAGATCTGGAAAAATGTTATTGTACAATTACAATATAAAAATAAAACTTGGCAATATAAATATTTCTCATAGACCCTTATACCCTCACAAGAAAAGTGATTGGATATAGATTAGATAAAATTCAAAATGTGTCCTTTAAAACTTTGATACTCACCGTAAGTAAGCTGGAAGAACTCAGAGTATTTACCCAATATTTGTTCCATAGAAGTTCAAGCAATTTGCGATCCAAAGATGATTTAAAGTAAGAGACTTCTAAAGCATAGTACCTATTACATGAAAAATAAGTTAATTTAAATGACAAATAAAACTGCATTTTAAAGAAGTTACTTTTAAATATACAGTGAATTGCATTTACCATTTGTGGTTTCATATTTTTATTTCACATCCCAAACAAAACAGGCTCGCAAATATGATTTATCCTTTTTGGAAAACAAATCCCAGATGAGCCTTCTTCTTCAGCTTCAGTTAAAAATAATAATCAATTCTAAATTATAATCTTGAAGTGGTATCTGGCTCAATAAGCCTTAAAAAAAGCCATTTTGCAAACAATATTCTAGCAATATCATGTGTAATAGGCAATGACTTAGGCTGGTTCCCTATTAGTGTAAGTTTGGTGCTGGAACAAAATGAGATACTCACTAATCATTCAATAGCTAACAGAGCTATAGAACAGAAAGGATATCCATTTAGGATACTGCAACACTTAGCTCAGCTAGAGGTTGTCAGCCTAGTTTCCATATACAAACACAGCTGGTAAGAAGGGCAGGATATAATGACTTACATGACCTTGGGACAGCTACCTAGTCTGAGGGGTCCCAATTCCATGTGCTTTTTCTATGCCCTTAAGTGACCAGAAAGTCACATTAATCTGGCCAGAGGCCACCAAGAAGCTGCACAGCTTGGCCTTAGTCCTCTGGGTAAACAAAGACCTGGGGACAACTCTGTGGTCCTACAGGGGAAAACTGTCTCACCCATTTGGTGGTGGTGGGAAGAACCTGGGTAGACAGTGATTCTATCAGATCCCACCCTTTGGTGGCAAGGTCCTAAAGATCTTCCAGAGCAGTGTCAAACTCAAACAGAAAGGATCCCTGTGGCTATGTATTATAAAACCACAAAATAACATTATCTATGTGGTGTTTCATTTAAAAAAAAAATTTTGTTAAACATTTTCCAGAGTAGGTTCAGCTACACTTGGGAGTTTTCAAATTTCACACCTTTCTTTCAGAAGACCTTCTATCATTTAAATAGCTTTAGGGCTTTCACTGGACAATTCTAAGCTTAGATTCAAGGAGCCTGGCATAGACAATACAAGGAAGTAAAAAGGGAAAAAAAAATAAACTAAAAACATGGCAAAAGCAAAAGACATAAAAAAAATCTTAATGGTTTCCTGAAGGAGACCATAAAAAATATAAAAGATAACAAAGACAAGAAATCCTAGGCTTTTCCTTTACCCTTCTTCTAGAAGGCTCAAGTCCCAGATTTCAAAGATATGGTCTATGGCACTCGGCAATGACAAATCCCTATAGTTCACCGTGGGTCCTCTGATGACAGTTAGTGACAATGTGGAGAAACAGCATCAGGAACATTAGGGCCATCACACAGTTGGTCACATCTCTAACTAAGGCAGAAATAAGGAGCTAGAGAAGCACCAGGGCAATAGCACAAGTTATGGGATTTCTGGCAGAGTCAACAATTCTTCATTACACACCCGGTCATCTGTAGTAAAGGGATTTAACAGTCATAAGCCTCTTGCCTGCAGTCTGTCCTGGGATCTACCATGGTTTTCCCCCATACTGTCACTTCCTTAAATATTCCCTGTTCACTTATCAAATTTCCCCTTCCCTGGTAGTCTTATCAGGGGGATGATCCCAAATCTTTGCCCCTTTAGAGACCTCTGTGGAGGGGCTAGATAACGCCTCTCCCTGAATATTATCCAGGGATTCAGGATTACCACCAAGTTGGCCTCCATTTCCTATCTCTTTAGCCCCTTGTAAGTTTCTGCCCCTATCATTCTACTGAAACTGTTCTCAAAAAGTTACTAAAGACCTTCTAATTACCAAACTTAATTAAAAAAAAAATCTTTCATTTCCTTAACCTCTCAGCAACTTTGGCTAGGACTTAACTGCCAGGATCCTACTGGATCCTCTCTTTAGCTTCACTGAGGTACTCTCCAGAGTCTCGCACACATCCTCAGCCTCCCAACAGTTAACACAGGCATTCCTCACTGAGTAATTAAAGACAATTTTCGTTCTCCTTGGCTCTTCCATCTCTATACTCTTGGCAATCTCATTCACTCACACAGCTTCACCTACCAGTTTTATGTAGATGACTCCCAAATCTCTTCTTTTCTCTATTCTGAATTAGAAACCCACGTTTTGCAGCTTATAGGACACCCCCAGATGTCCCATCTCCATCAACATGTCCCCAGATGAGCTGACTATCTTTCTCCCCAACAGAAGGTAAGCTCCTCTCGGAGAAGCAATTTTTATCTCTTTGCATTGTTTTGTTCGTAATAAGTGCTTGACAAGTTTTTGTCCCCACCCTGCCCCTTCCTAGGTTAATCCTTTTGATTTTACTACTTTTTTATGTGGTGGCACCATTCCCCTGATCTTCCATGTTGACTACCTTGGTGTTATTTTTGAATGTAAGGGGAAAGAGATAAGAGTCAATCAGCAATAAATTTCTATCAATTAAATCTCTAACATTTCTTCATTCTCTCCCCTCTTCTGCCATTCCTATTGCCAATTCCCTAATGCAAGTCCTTATCACTACTTGTCTGCCCTATTACAAAAGCCTTTCTAAAGGTCTTTCATTCTCCGTTTTCTTTTCCCTCAAATCCATCCTTCACATTGCCAAGTCTATCTTAGGCATAGATTTTATGTCAATCCTGTGCAGAAAAGCATCAATAATTTCAAACATCTTTGTCTGGAATTCAAGGGGCTCCACAATCTGATGCCTTACCCCTACCTTCTCTTCTATTTCCTCCTTTCATATATTATATCTAAGAGCCAGGTTAAGGCTCTCATAGTTCTCTGCTTTTCTTCTTTATTTTTTTGGTGAGGCAATCGGGGTTAAGTGACTTGCCCAGGGTCACACAGCTAGTATATATCATGTGTCTGAGGCCGGATTTGAACCCAGGTCTTCCTGACTCCAGGGCCATGCTCCATCCACTGAGTCACCTAGCTGCTCCAGTTCTCTGCTTTTCTTCAGGCTGTTTCCTATGCTTAGAATGAATACCCTTTCTCTTTCTTTTACCAGCCTAACTGAATCCTCCAGAATACCTCCCTGATCCCCTACTGTCCCTCTCCCCAGCCCCTGCCAAACTGGTGATGAATTTCTCTCCTCAGATCTCACATGCCATTTTATTTTTCAATTCTCTAACGTGTTATTGTTCAGTACACTATAAATTCCTTGGAAGCAACAACTATATTTGATTTAAGCTTTTAGTCTTCCCTAAGGTGTACTTGCAGCAAAGTGGCACAGCACACAGATTGCTGGACTTGGAGTCAGGAAGACCTGAGTTCAAATCCTGCCACAGATACTTATTAGCTGTGTAACCCTGGGTAACCACTCTAAGACTCAGTTTCCTTACCTGTAAAATGGGGATAATAATAGCACCTACTTCCGAGAGTTGTAGTAAGATCAAAGAAGATAACATATGTGAAGCATTTTTCAATTTTTTAAGTGCTACATAAATGCCATCTACTATTATTATTAGCATCATATTCTACAAAAAACAGAGATTTGTTGCATTGTATATTATATTTTAGTAATTCAAGAGAAACCAACAGACCTAGAAAGTGTCAGAAAAAAAAATCAAAGACAATTTTTCTAAAGTGAAAGATAATACATCTCTCTGCTCTCATTTCATGTAGCATTTTGTTTATACCTATCTTTCGACACTAACTGAATTCTGCATATGTTTGTTTCATTTCCATCCTAGAATGTAAGCTCCTTCAGGTCAGGGACCAAGCATGAGTCCTTTTTCTTTGTATTCCTTACAGAATCTAGCACAATGCTTCACATGCAGTAGGCACTTGATGTCAGTGAATTAAACTTAACAGTAACAGTATAACAGGTTAAAAAAAAAAAGCAAAGTACTCATACACCCAACAAGAGAAAAATGAGCCACAACCCCACCCCCAACTATGATTTATTAACACAAGAAACTACTACACAGTCTTCATTTTCTTCATTTTTGACAGCTATGTTGCTACATGGATAGTATATGAGAAAATATAAGAAATAAGGTTAAATGGAAAAAGGAGCACACAAAATAGCAAGTATGCACTGAAATATAGATATGTAAGTCCATTAAAGACTGGAAGAGAATGTGGAAGGATAAAAACACAATTCAAAGTTTACTGGATTCTTTTTTTTTTTAAATTGTTTAAGGTAACCATTTTAAAAAAGGTTTACTTTTTCAATTCTTTTCTGAATTACTTACTGTTTGCAATGTACTCCAAAGTCTTCTATTTTATTAAGTGGAATAGTCTGGTACTCAGAGGGACCTTCATCTGGTGGTTTATAGCCCTGTACAAAGAATATAAGTAAGACGGTAGTTTGTGAAAATACTTCCAAGGTAATGTAGAATATTTTTGGTAGCCTGGTACTGCATGAAAATAGTCTTATAACCTAAAGAAAAAATGCACTGCTATTTTGTTCTTGAGGTTACAGGGTTGGATCTGGCTTATAAACTTATTCACCAGTGTCTCAGATTGGTATAAATTTAATTTAGTTTTTTTTTGGGGGGGAGGAGAAAATATCACAACTGTCCATCTTTTTTGTACTTTTGGCAGAAATAAGGGACACTTAAATTCACATTTCAACCTTATCTTTTCAATCTAAAGACAGTTGATCCTGAATTGAATTGAATGTTAAGGAACTGTGACCAAAAGGCAGTTTAGTTCATTTTGTGGGTTAAGGAATTAATTCCCAAGATATTTAACTTTGATCATTCTCTTAATAACTTACCAATGTTAGTAGCTGTTCTATATACATATTTAAAGAATCCTTAAAAGCTATTGATCAATAGAGGTTTAGAGAATACTGACATATTGATTGATATATCTATATATAAGTGATCAGAGGTAGAATGTAAGCTTTTCGAGGAACTACAGTTGAATGATTTTCCACAATTAGTACATGGTTGGTTTTACTTTGATAATAGATTCCCTGGGAAAGGGCAAATACTAGAGGAAAAAGAGTTTTAATTTTTCCTAATTATAGTCAGGAAAGGCTTCTCAAAGGAAATGGAATCTGAGGAGAATTTGAATAAGTTTAAGGAGTGCAGCTGGTAAATGAAAGGTGAGAGAATATTCTAGAAACAAAGTATAATTCAGAAAGTATGACATCTGGAATATATAGGGGACTTTACTATTGATATATGGAACTATTCTAAGCTTCTCTCTCAACTTTTTGCAGTTCTGGGGAATTAAATTCTGCACTGGTACAGTATAAGTAAAAGTAAAATAAATAATACTGTAAACAATACCATTGCCTCTCATAATGCAAGATTAAAAGCTTCATAAAGAAGGCATGGTGTAAAAGACAATAACAGACTCAGAGTAAAGTGGCCTGGGGTGGAGTTTTCCCTCAGACCCTTTACACTAGAACTATTATGGGCAAGTTACTTAAATTTTTCTCTTGGCATCATAGTAAAAGATAAACGAGGATGTTGGGGGCTGGTTCAGGACCTGAGGGAAGCCAACTTAACTTACTCACACAGATGGCAGTTCACCATGGCTGGTATCAAAAAGCTGAGCCTTGCAGCCATTTTGATATGTCCTTAGTAATCTCAACCCATTCTGTGGGAGTGATTAAACCATACAGAAAATGATTAGGGAAATTAATCAATGTGACTGTAACTTTTTTTTTTGGTGAGGCAATCAGGGTTAAGTGACTTGCCCAGGGTCATGCAGCTAGTATGTATCATGTGTCTGAGGTCAAATTTGAACTCAGGTCCTTCTGACTCCAAGGCCGGAGTTTTATCTACTGCGCCACCTAGCTGCCCCCTCCCCGCTCAACTACAGCTTTAAGAAAGGGTATGTTTCCTCAATTCTCATTTTAAAATATGAAAGCCTACTCCAATCAGTCATTTGAGCATTTCTTTCCTCTGCAGAATTAATTTTACTGTATGTTACAAATCTGTTCTGCCTGTCTTACACTATCTACATGCTTCTACAAGCAAAGAATACCAGTTTAAATGGTTTCTCTAGTGCCTACTATAGTACAAAGAGCAAGAAGGGTCCTTAATAAGTAAAAGGATTTTTTTCCTACACTTTTAACCAAGTTAAATTGTACTGTCAAAAAACTCATAAAGAATTTTTGTTTTACTAGGTACAAATTCTGTAGGGATTCGATTGATATTATGCTAATATTTTTACATCTTTGGTTTAGGAGTTGAAAAATGGGGGAAAATGGATTTATCATATGAAATTCTTTTTCAAAATGAATAGAATTTCAAGAAAATATCTTCAATTCAACACAAATTTATTTCAATTAATCTAAATGTTTAACTTATTACCTTTGGGTAGGTCCTAAAGGCACCAAGATTCACTTTTCCTGCAGATATTGTTCTTGTTGGATCAATCTATAATGATGAAAAGAATATTTATTAAAATGCAATTGTTACAGGATAGAAAAGATATTGTTTAATTAATACTGGGAGTGAGAAATATTTTGTGAGAGTTCTAAAATAAAAGATCTAGAAAATATTGTGAGCTCATTGAAGTAAATAGAAATTTCCTCTATAAACTATTAGCTTACAGATAGGTACTTAGGGTTATTGAAGGCTTCAGTTTCTTTAGGAAATTGAAGGAAAATCAAGCTATATTTTTACTTTAAAATTCTGTAAAAACTTTTCCCTGGTATTTTATTTATATGACCTTTATTTCTGAATTAATCCCTCCCTCTTCTAACCACTGAGCCATCCTTTTTAATAAAGAATAAAAAAGAGAAGGGAAAAAAACAGTTTAGCAAAACTAAACAACCCATCAATCAAGTCTTGACAGGGTACAAAATGTTCCAAACCCATAGTTCCCCATCTCTGCAAGGAAAGGTGATGGGTGTACTTTCTTATTTTTTCCTAGACAAATGTGGTCATTATAATTACATAGCATTCAGTTTTTCTTTTCTAGTTCTTTCCATTTAAATTAACATAATCACTGTGTATTTTGTTTTCTTGGTTCTGCTTACTTCACCCTGCATCAGTTCCTATAAGTCTTCCCAAACTTTTCTGAATTTGTTTGTATCTGTTATTACTTACAGATTAGTAAAGTTCCACTGTGTACATGTACCACAATTTTTTAAGGTATTCCCCAATCATCAGGCACCTATACTTGGTTTCCAGCCTTTTGCTTCCACAAAACATTCAAGCTATATTTTTTAAAAGGTTTTTGCCATATTTACCTATTTAAAGATTATTTTCTATCTACTTCATAGGAAACTGATTGAATAATTGTCTCAAATACTTTGAACATATCAGAAATGCCATCAGGTGGTCCTCAGTGAAGTCTCTAACTGCTGTCTTGGATCTATTTCCACACTTTTCTGCCAACAGACCTGTTAACCTTCTCACATCATTCCAATTTAGTCTACAGAACAGGAAGAAGCAAGGGCATGGAAGAAGGATAAGTAAAAAGACAGAAAAATTTACTATGGACTATTTTAATGTCCCTACCTACCTTGCCAGCTCAAATCTTACCACTTGCGAATACCAGGAGAACTCACTGAAAGAAAAGAATGAAAGGAGAGAAAATCTTATCTTGCTATAGCTGTGGTATCCCTACCTCTATAATACCATGGCTCCTCTTGCCCTAGGGTTGCTCTTAGGGGAAAACAAGAAACTGTGCTGGAGTGACTTGATAAAGGATGTGCTTCTTCCTCCCTCTATCCTGTTCTTCCCCTTTGGGAGCTGATGGGAAAAGAGGGAGTGAATGGAAGGGACAGCATATATTTCCTATTCACTTTTTCCCTTTGCCCCCATTTTGTCCAATCTTCCCCATAATCCTCCTAAATAGCTTCCAGTACCTTTTCCTGTTTGTTTTCTACCATACTCCTGTACCACTTCAGTCTCTTTTACCCCAGCTGCAAGCTCCCACCCTAGTTCCTTACCACATGGCATCTTAAAGCCTCCATCTATCCATCCATCATCCATCTATCCATCATTTACCAAGCGCCTCTAATATGTCAGGCACTGTGGTAGGCACTGGAGATACAAAGACAACAATAAAATAGTTCCTGCCCTCAAGAAGTTTAAATTGTACTACAAATGATAATTTGTAAATAAATAAAAATATAACAAAATGAACACAAGGTAATTTTTTTTTGGTGGGGTGGGCACTAGTAGCTGGGAATACGGAAAGGATTCAGGTTAAAGGTGGTGCTTGAGCAGAGCTTTGAAATAAACAAAGGATTTTAAGAGGCAGGAGGTAAGTGCCACCACCCCTTTAGCCACTTTGTTGAATGGAGTCCCTACCCTAGATTAATGAATAAGTCTGCCATTATTGGCCTGGATCTCAGGGAGCCCCTACATCTACTGGAACTATTAGAGCCAATGTGTTCGAGGCATTTCAAATTGGAATTCTCATAGAAACATGGTTATATGTGATATTCAAATTCTACAGTACTAAATCTGGGATGGTTACTTCAACAGTTTAAAGCTTTGTGATTTATTGGCATGACTAGTTCTTGTACTGATTCAAACCACAATATCTTCATATCTTAGTAGGCAGTCTTCATTAGGCGCTACGGCCAATGAATCTTCCCAAGTTTAACTAGGCTGATCCGCAAATGAGGGATTATACTCTAGACACTGGGGTCAAACTCAAAGTCTTGTGCTCTGTTGCCTTGGAGAACTCAGGGTCACAACCATGCAATAAGGAGCGTTACACAGCCATTATGTGTCAATGGCAGAACTGCCTGACTCCATAGCTAACTCTCCAACTACTACACCAGGTTTCCTCTTTTGGAGTACGAACCATTTAAAAACTAGTTGATCTTTACTTTAATGCAAAGATCAGGAGTACTAAAACACTGCATTAACATAAGAACGTTATGAAACATTACTGTGCTACAAGAAATGACTGAAGAATTGAGAAATGTGGGATGACTCATAGAGAATAAAGTAGAGTGAGGTAAGCAAAAGTAAAACAACATCGCCGATAACCTAAAACAATCTTAAAAGGCAGCAGAAATCACATTCATTGCAGTAACTAATCTTGGCACCAAAGAACAAACAATACACAAAACAGACTCCTTTCCTTGTTTCCAGATGGAGCAGAGCATCACCTAACTGTTGGACTCACTCAGTTCTGCTCAACTGTTTTTCCTTGTTACAAAGGAGAGTTCATGATGGGATCATTTGTGTGTGTGGATGTGAGATGTCTGAAAATGAATGTGGTATGAAAAATGAAAGGTATCAATATGAAAAAGAGAAAACATTGCACTTAAAAATGTTTTTGGGGGCAATTGTTAATTTTTGTTAATTTGTTAACAAATTTGTTAATTTTTCTAAAATGCCATCAATAGCTATCACCTATTTTTTAAACTTGATATTAATCTAATTCTGACTTGTGATTCCAACACAGGTTTGCAGAAACCTAAAGAACCAGGGAAGTCCTCTTCAAGTTTATGTATCGAGAGATAATCATCTCCATCATACTTAGACTGTTCTGTTCCTGTGAGGCCCTAGTTATATGGGAGCTACGTGTTTCCTACATGAATGCTCTTGAGCTCTGGTGCATGGCAGCCACATACTCCAACAGTGATTCTTTGCGAGAATCTGAGAGGGACAGGGAGGAAACTTTTTCTCCCATTTTCAACAGAGGCAAAAATGTATTTCCAGGTATAGGAAAGAACTTGATACATTTCACTATTTCTTTTTAAATGGCGACCAACAACGTAAAAGATATTACCATTTTATAGCCGAAGAGACTGAAGAGCAAAGAGGTTACTGGACCTACTCATAGTCACGAAATGAATTAGCAGAATTTAAGAATTAGAAGGTACCTTTGAGGTATCTAGTCCAGGAATAGGGAACTGGTGCCCTCGAGGTCACAGGTGACCTTCTAGGCCCTTAGGTGCAGCCTTTTGACTGAGTTCGAGTTTTATAGAATAAATCCTTTTATTAACTATGAAGTTTGGATTCAAAGGGCCACATTTAAGGACCAGGGCCACATGTGGCCTTGAGGCCCCATCCCTAACTAGTCCTTATTTTAGAGTTGAAACTGAGTCTCAGAGAAAGGCAGGATTTTTCCCCCTCCCAAACTCCTGTTTTCCAGACTCCTAACTCAGTGTTCTTTCTCTGATACCACATTCTCAATGGCAGATCCCCCCCTTGACAGTTATTAATCACTGATTACATGGCAAACCAAATGAAACTCTGGACAGATATTCTCATTTACTAATATACAAACTTAAGTGAATCTCAAATTCTATTGTGAATTTAGTAACCAGCATACTTACAACTACTGCTACAAATGGTTCTTGAAACTGCTGATTGAGCATCTGGGTGCTAACATCAATCCCAGAGAGCCAACAACCATAGCCAGGGTGGCTGTGATACCAGCCAATTGCATTTTCAAGTCGACCCACCTAACAGCGAAGGAAAAAAATGTCAGATTAAATGCCAAGATTCATCTCATTTTAGAATCAGCTGTCTTTTTGGTTATTTACCAATAATTATGCAAAAACAGAATACACAATAACATTTCACAACAAATGTTAAAATACATAAGCACAATGACTTGTGAGATTGAAAAGACCCACTGTAAATCACTATTATGTTTAATCTTATTTAATATATATACTACATGCAAAGTAATTAGAGAAAATAAATTTGAAACATGTTTTACTATGCAGTTCATTGCTAGATTTTTTTTTCTATAACACCTCAAGTATATAACTTAATAGCTGCTGTGAAATCTTTTTACTTAAAACTTTTTTTTTACCTGTTTTGCATTTTCTATATATGCTGCCATATATTCATATGCAGCAGCTTGGGCATTAACTCGAGTTTCTGTGCCCTCTACTGGTAAAGCAAAACTGTCCATAATGATCATGGTTTCACCATCCACTTTCCCGAGCATCAAACCCATCACTTCCAAGTTGCCTCCTGATCTAGCATGCATCACCATTTTCAGTAGGGCTAAGGCTGAGATCTTGCAGTACTTAAAGTAATGGTGACTACAAAACAAAAACAAAGTATATTGTAAAATTAGCTTGACTATGCAAAGCACAATTTCCTAGAATGTTTTTTATGAGTTAAAGAATGACAGAAATTGGAAAGGTGAAGGGAAATGGTAGAAGGGATGGCTGGGAAGAAGAAACATTAAAGGACTCTTACTCCTTGTAGGATATAGGGAATAAGAGAGATGTTAGTATTCTGAAAAAAAGTCACACATACAGAAAATTCCACAACTCACTCAAATCACAAACCAGTGTTCTTGTGAGTAGACCAGTAATTTTTTCCCCCTCTAAGTTTAGCATGCCTGCATCTACCCTTATTATATTACATATTTTTCATTTTCAGTATACAGAATAAGGTACAATGTATATGGCATGCACTGAATAAAAGCATGTCCTGTTGGCATGGACCTGCACAGCCTTTCTTTAGGTATAGCATATTCGATCAAGAATCAGAAGAGTTGGATTCAAATTCTGCCTCTCCTACATATTACCTATGTGTCTTATGGACAAGTCCCTTACTTCCCTAACTTTCTACTTCCTCATTTGTAAAATGAAGGGATTGGATCTCTAAGGTCCCATTCAGTTCTGAATCATGTGATCTGCTCATCCTGATACTAAAGTATAAATGACTGAAAAAACCTTCTTGTTCCCCAAAGTATTTGTATTTTAATTGGAGGTAAGAAATCTCAAGCCAAGAAATGAATCTGTAATTGTGGAACATTAGGCTTTGGGAAGGAGGGGAAAAAAATTGAAAGAATCCCTGGTCAGGAGATTTGGGTTTGAGTTTAGGTTTGGAGAGCAGCCAGGCAAGTTTGTCTCAGAGGCAGTTACATAGCAGAGTAGAGTGTACTGGGCTTGGAATCAGGAAGACTTGGGTTCAAATCCAGCTTTAGACACCTATTAGTTGTATGGTTAAGTCAATGTGTTCACCTCAGTATCCTCAACTGTGAAATGGGACCAATAATAGCACCTACCTCATGGGTATAAAAAGTACTTAGTAGGTGCTATTTCCCTCTTTTTTCAGGTATAAAATGATGAGCAAGGGGTAACAGTCTTAAAGAGGTAAACCTTGGTTTGATATAAACTTCTGATCCTATGAAAAACTTCCTAAAGAATTAAGAGTTATGCTAATTTATCCAGTCTGCAGAGCAATTTGGAACTATGCCCAAATGGCTATAAAACCCTGCATACCCTTTGACCTAGCAATATCACCTCTAGGTCTGTAACCAAAAAGAGATTAAAAAAACAAAAAGGAAAAGGCCCTGTATGTACAAAAATATTTATAGCAGCTCTTTTCTGGTGGCAAAGAATTGGAAATTGAGGGGATGTCCAGCAATTGGGGAATAGCTGAACAAAGTATAGTAGGTGATTGTGATGGAATACTATTGTGCTATAAAAAATGATGAGCAGGATGCTCTCAGAAAAACCTGGAAAGACTTACATGAGCTTATGCAAAGTGAAATATCCTGTGTACAAAGTTAATAGCAATATTGTAAGATGATCAGCGATGAATGACTTAGCTATTCTCAGCAATACAACGATACAAAACAACTCTGAAAGACTTAATGTGAAAAATGCTATCCATCCTCAGAGAAAAAGCTGATGGCGTCTGAATACAGATTGAAGCATACTTTTTTTTACTTTATTTTTCTTGAGTTTTTTTGTCTGTTTTCTTTCACAACATGACTACTATGGATATATTTTGCATGACTACACATGTATAATCTATATTGAATTGTTTGCCTTCTCAATGAGGGGGGATAGGGAGGGTGAAAGGGAGAGAATTTGGAACTCAAATGTTAAAAATTGTTTTTGCATGTCATTGGGGGAAAAATAAAATGCTAGATACATTAAAAAAAAAAAAAGAATCAGAGTTATTTAGAAGTGGATTGGGTTGCCTGGAAAGAAGCATGCTTCCCACCCATTTGAGGTCTTCAAGTTTAGGCTGGATGACCGCCTTGTTGGGTATTTTGTAGAGGGGAATTTTCCTTTTAGGTATGGGTTTTAACACTTGCCACTTTGGGAGGACCCTCCCAAAGCTGAATTCTGTGATTCTCTACCTAAACAATATTTCATGGTTCTTCTATATATTTTTAGAGAGAGGGATTTGCCGTCCCCATTACAACCTTTAGGCAGCTCCCAGGCATTCATTACAGACAGTGCTCTACCCTATTAAGAGCTTCTAAGAGGAGACACTTCACCATATTTTTTCAGGAAAGCCCCAAACTCTGTAGCTTTAGAGTTAGAGGACCTGGGTTTGAATCCCAAGCTCTTCTACTCCCTTGATTGGTTCTTAACCTGGGGTCCATGACCTTGTTTTTCAAAATATTCTGATGACTAAATTTCAAAAGAACTGTAACCCTTTATAGTACAATCTATTTTATTTTATCCATTTAAATACATTGTTCTGAGAAGGGGGCCATAGGCTTCACCTACTTTACATAATTTACATCAGATATGAATTCTTCTACCTGGAGGTGACTCCTTCCTATCTTTCCTGCCTCCTTTACCTGTTTTACCTGTCCATTCTCTCCAATATCCATTGCTAATACAGGGTTGTCTGCATGTTGTCTCCCCAAGCAGACTGTGAGCTCCTTGACGGCAGGGGCTGTCCTCTGCCTTTCCCGGACTCTCCAAGGGCTTAGCAGCTCGGCACACAGTAGGTGCTTAATCAATGTTTGCAGGCTGACCTGAACTTGCCAAAGGGATCCTTCCCCACAAAATGGTGAAGAACCCCTACACTTGACCCCAATTTGCTTCAGAAAAGTAATGTTAAGAGTGGAGAGATGGCCAGCCTCCCATAGGGGAGATCCTGGGCGAGTCCCTGGAGCCCTCGACCGACCGGGGCCACCTTGGATAAGGGTCACTCTGAGCCTCAGTTTCCCCGCTCTGTAAAACTGGAGGATTTGGAGTGGATGACCCCAGGCTCACCGCCGGCTCTCACACCTCGGTGTCCTACGATCGCTCAGGGCGGCCCCCGATTGATCAGTGATTGATCAGCGGGGGGTGTGCCGATGGGGCGGGGGCGGCTCGACCCGGCGCCCGGGCTTCTGTCTCCAGAAGGCTCGGAGAGGGGCTGGGGGAGGATCTGGGGCCGCGGGGGGCCCGGGTGGGGGCGGCCCCGGGGTCCAGTCGGGGTGGGGGCCCGCCCCGGAGGCCGCAGCCTCTCCCCTTCCCTCCCCCCGCCCCCCCCCGGGGCTTCCTCACTCCTTGGTCCAGGGCTTGGCCGCCAGGATTTCCTGCTGCTGCTTCTTGTCGTACTTGTAGATCTCGTCGATGCTCTGCGCTTCCTGCATGTTGTTGGCCAGCTCCCAGCTCTTCTGGGCCATGCCGCTCCCCGAAGCCGCCATCGCCGCGGAGACGCCGCAGGCCCTCCCTGCGTCCCCGCCCCCTCAGCCCCGCTCCGATTCCCCGCCGCCCCGGCCGCGGGGCGAGACTTTGTGACCCTCGTCCCCCGCCGTAACGCAAGCCTCAGTTAACAGGTTATCGGAGCTGCCATGACACCGGGAACCTGGGATCGGAGCGGAGCGGACTATTCGGAAAGCCGAGGGAGGGGGGTCCGGTCTTCGGGTGCAAGAGGTCGTGTGAGCCGCGGCTACGAGGCTATAGAGCCACAAGAATAAAAAAGGGGATACTAGGGGGAGAAAATTACGACATGTTCTATTTTGAGTTCCCTAGGTGGATTCTCCCACAACCTATTTAGCAGTTCGGGGAATGGTACAATCTTTCCCGACGCTGGGAGGGGGCGGGGCCCTTGCGTCATGCCACGCGCTTGCGTTGGTTTTCTGCGCCCTTACTGCGCCTGACTGAAAGGCACCATATTTAAAAGTGGTAAAGCGGCGGGCTTTTAAGTGGAAAAAGTGTTTTATCAGCGTAGGTCCCTAGGAGCCAGAAGAGGAAGAGAAAAAAGGGAATTTAATTAGCATTACGAGTTTTCAGAAGATTGAGGACTGAGGGTACTAGGGCTGCCTGGTGAGTGGAATGTCAACCGTAATGTTTTCCTTAGCAGGGACTCGTCGGGCACTAGTGCATTACGACAAACGAGCGTAGTGGTGGCCTCGCCGCCAAGCCCTTCCCTGGTGCTGGTCGTTTCTTGCGTTTGCCTGGAGGAGCGTCCCCTGGCGGTCAGAAGAAGCAGTGGTAACTCCTGCAGCGAAGCTCGGTGTATTTAAGTGAACATTTAAAGGCTACTTAATAGAACAGAAGCTCCTATTAGGAGTTAAATAGGAGCACTATTTCTTTGTAACTCCACTTTTTTTTTTAAGCAGGGCTTTGCACTTAGTAAGCGCTTAATAAATGGTTTTTTTTAGTTTATTCGTTAATCTCACTTGCATGTTGATAGTTATAGTATTTTCAGAATAGCTTTATTTAAAAAAATTTTTTAAAGAGATTTTCGTTTTTTTCTTTTTGTGTGATTGATTTGTCTTAGATACCATGGAAAAAAGCAGTCGACACATGGACATTTGAAGGAACTGGATCTTAAAGAAGTGATTTTGAGAATTTTATATCCTTACTACTTGGCAGGGCTTTGCACTTAATAAATACATTTTCATTTATTCATTAAGCCCACTTGCATATTGATATTTAGAGAGTCATTTTGAGAGTAGTTTTATTTAAAACCCTTTCCTTTTTTAAATGTGGTTGATTTGACTTAGATACTATGGCAAACAGCAAATGCTGCAAGGACATTTGAATTAACTGAATCTTGAAGAAGTGATAGTAAAATTTCTGAGTGTCTTCTATTTGTGTCCCAAATGCTAGAGTGGGGCTGGACCTGAACCTCTACTGTGGGGTGGGATTAGACTGTCATTAATAAGCAAGGCTTACTAGTGAATTTCGTTGATAGTGACATAGAAATCCTGTAGTCGTAGAATCCTGATCCTATGATCCTACCTCAGAGAAAAGTCTTATAATTCAATTCAACAGACCATTTATTAAGCACCTACTATGTGCAGGGCACTATGCTAGGTGTGGCTTGTTCGAAAACTTCCAGTGATAGAGACAGCCAGTTCAAATTCCGTACAATTAGTCTTTCTTTTAATCTCCAGTCGGCTTCCTTTTAATTTCATACTTCGACCTTCTGGAACTACAGTAATAACAGCTAGCATTTGAGCCTCAATAACCTTGTGAAGTAGATGCTATCATTATCCCTTATTACAGGAGAGGAAACTGAGGTTGTGATATGCCTGGATTCCCACAACTGGTTACTATCTGAGGCAGGATTCAAACTCAGGTCTTCCAGACTCCAAGTCCAGCACTGTCCACTGTGTCACCTAACTGATCAGGTTCTTTGGTGGCACCTCCAGAGTTGAAGATCTCTCCATCTTATGGGTTTTGGCCCTTTTGTCTTAAAATTGTAGAACGGTGGAGCTGGAAGGGACTGCCAATTATACAGAACAGTCTCATTTTACAGATAAAGGAGGGGGTGATTGTAAGGTACTATGTAACCTACTATACTGTGAACTGCTGAAGGTTGACTGTCCACTGTTTCTGTGTACGACAGGAGGAGGGAAAAATCACTTGAGCTCATTTGAGGTTGTCAGAGAAGATTCTCTCATTTGACTATCACTCCCACCGACAGAGCATGACACTTGATTGCCAGTCGTTGGAAGTGGTAGCAACCTACCTCAGTCATTGAAAAATTTAAAGCTCCATACAGATATCAGCAGTAATGATTGTCTTGTTAATTAGATTACAGTCCATCCCGTTAATATTTATGGAATGCCTGCGTGCTAGCCACCAGGTGCTGTCTGGAATACAAAGATTAAGACGTGTTCCCAATGGTCATAGAGCCTGCGACCTAACAGGGCCGGCGGCTGCAGATAGAAATATTGCAAGACAAGGTAGAATGTACAGCAAGAAACATACGAATGGTTCCTTAATTGGGGGGAAAGGTGAGAGCACGTGTGGCAGGGACAAGAGGGAATCATCAGTGACTTGAGAAGAAGTAGCTTTCGAAGTGGGTTCGGAGTCGGAGGACGAAGGTTTACCTACACGTTTTGTCATCTGTAAAGTGAAGGCGCGGCCCACCAGATTACCTCTGGGGGCCCTTCCACTTACACATCTAAGAGATTCTGAAATGGTGCAGATGATAATTTAAAAGGCCTCCACGGGGGCTGAAGAAGAAAAGGAGAAATGCTGGCTTGGAATGAAAAGCGTGGAGAAAGCTCCCATACCCTCTGCGTTTTCTTCGCCCTGCGCTTGCGGGCGTCCCCGGGGTTACCGGCTGCCCTGAAGACGGCCACTTACGGCGGAGGCAGCGCGGGAGGCCTCCCGTGCGCCAGGGGGCGCAAGGCACTGCCCCGAGCGGCTTCTGGGGGAAGGGGCGCCTCCAGCCGTTACTGGAGGCGCGGGGATGCTGCGGGGAGGCGGAGGAGCTGTCACTGGCGGAGGCTCGCGGGCAGAAGGCACCGTGGCTCGGCGGAGGACGCCCTAGAGGCCGTCCGGGCGTCTTCCTCCCTCAGCGAGAGCCCTCCGGGTCCGGGCAGAGTCAGGCCTGCCTCGGCTGCCCGGCCTGAGGCTCCGACCCCGTGAGGGCGGTGGGGGCTCCGCACCTGGCGGTCCGGGGCAGTCCTGGAGCCGGAGCCCGGCAGGGGCTCGGCGCTGGGGTGCGGCCCGATTTGTTGTAGCCCGGTTGCCTGACAACGCCGCCCGGGTTTCTTCCGGAGGGGTGGGGGCGCGGCTGCGGTAGATGCTGCGGCTGGAGGCTGCGCTCTGCGGCCGCGACTAACCGAGGGGCCGCGGACCGAGCCTCTGCCACCGCGGACCGAGCCTCTGCCGCCGCGGGGGGCCGCCCGCCTCGGGGAGCCTCCTCCGGGATCCTTCCCCGGGGCTTGGAGCGGGCTCCGCTTCGTCTCTGATGGAGAGCCGGGCGGCCGTCTCGTGACGAGCGATGGCCTGGGAGAGGCGCCCCGCCGGTAAGCGGAGACCAGACTGCCCGAGGCAGCGGCAGGGCTTCCCCCGGGCCGGAGGGCGGGCGGCCAGGGGCCGTAGCACCCCCGGGGCCCGGGGCCCGGGGCGGGGAGGCAGAGCACCGCGGAGCAATGGCCCTTTTGTAGGCGTAGCGGAGCGTGCAGGCGGGGGAAAGCAATGCCTAGTGACGTGTGCATCGTTAGGGATGGAATGAGAAAGCGGCTTACTGAAATCCTCAAGTTTGGAGGAGCTAAGCCGCTTGTGGGGGCTGCACTAATATGGAGAGAGCTTCCCAAAGGGTAGTGATCTTATGCAGGATGTTTTTCCGGGAGGAGGGATTAGCTCTGGAGCAAGTTTTATGGCAATTTCATGATATAAGGGAAGAAGCATCGTGCCATAAGTGAGGAAACCGTATTTTACCAGCTCTGCCTAGGTGCATGTCTTTAGCTGAAGATGACCTCAAGTGTATTGGTTTTCTCATCTGTAAAATGAAGGAGTTGAGACTAAATGATCTTTCAGATCCCTTTCAGCTCCAAAATGCTGTAATTCGAAAGTTGTGAATATCATTAAGTGGAAATGTTTGTGAACTTTTATGTTGCTGCTTGCTCACAAGTTGGAAACTCGTAATAGAAATTCAAAGTGACCTTGAGAGACAGGGTTTTGGCTGAAAATTTCTGTTTAAAGGCTATTAGAAATATTTCAAAGCTTCTTCAAGATGTGGCAAATAGAAATTTCTGTGATTGGAAGTGTTCTGCACAAGTACCAGATCGTTACGTTAGATGTTCTGGAAATACTCAACTGGGGAAAAAATAATTCCTTTGTTGGCTCAAATATATACAGTAGCATTTTCCTAAAGTATAAAAGACTCTTTAGACTGGCATCTAATACCCTCCATAATATAGCTCCCACCTACATTTCCAGAAAGAGTTCTGAATCTGGAGTTGCAGAAACAGAATTCAAATCCTGACTGTAATTTACTACCTGTATGACCTTGGGCAAGTCATTTCTAATTCCCTCATTTGTAAAATGAAAGTGTTGGACCAGATGATCTATCAGTTTACTTCCATCTCTACATCTGTGATCCCATTTCCCTTCTCCAGCTCTTGAATTTTAACTAAACGGGGCTATTCCCTGATCTGTCATTCTGCTGCTTCCTATCTCCTTGCTCAGGCTGTCTTCCGTACTTGGACTGTTGAAGTCCTTCACTCTGTTGAAAGCCTTCTCTTTTTAAGGTTTATCCCCTTAGATTTTTTTTAGGGTACTTTGAATCTCTTCATCTTTCTGAAAAATCTTTTGCCTTTTGTATTATACTTACTTGTGTACAAATATGTCCTGTCCCCTTTGTGAATAAGTTTTAAGCTCAGAAGAGTAGGAGCTGTGTTGTTTTTCAACTTTTTTATTTTTAAATCCCATTGCTTAGCAAAATGCCTTGTACATAGTAGATATGCAGTAAATGTTTGAGAGTTCCTTGTGACTCCGAGAAGATTCTTGTGTTCCAGGTCTTTTAAATAGAGTGGAGCCTTGTTAAATGTGTATCCTTTGCAGTGCCGACCTTTACAGGACAGTTTCAGGAATGTGTTTTTGGAACTATGGAGACATCAAATAGCGTGCCAATGTGTTTTCTGAAGCTGGTTTGAAAAATACATTAGCCAGTAGCAATCTGTCATGTGTAATTGGAGTGAGGGGAGAAGGAGGAATCAAAATCATAGATTTAGCATCAGAAGGGTTTTAAAAACTCCTTCATTTCAAAGATGAGGAAACTTTGCCTAAGAGATTAAGGGACTTGCCTTAGGTCACATTGTAGTCAAGCAAAGGTCCTCTGACTCCAGATCCATGTTCCTTCCACTGTATTTTGCTTTTGCAATTACATTTCTTTTCTGATACTTCAGCACTTGAAAGATACTTGATTTCATTAGTGTCGGTGCTTCCAACATTGATGCAGGCTGAAATGCCTCTTTAATTTAGTACCACATCTTCAACAGTTAATCTAACTGAGAAATTCATCACCATGTGTCCCACCTGGACCTAGGTTATTTCTTAACAATAGATAGAGGGTTCAT